AACAATAAAAACATAAACAGTTAAATGGTTCCAGAAAGAGAGCACAGCGGTAAAAAGAAAACCATGAGTGTGTGGTGTCCTAGAAGGCTAGTGACATAAATATGTCCAGAAGGAAAGGAGTTATCAGTTGTGTCAAGTGAGATGAGAATGGAGAATTTCTCTTTGAGTTACTAATGTAGAAATCATTGTTGGTTATGACAGAGCAATTTCAGTGGAATGCTGGTGGTAAAAACCTGACACACGTGGGTCCTCCAAAGGAATGAATGGAGAAAAAGTTCAAGACATCAAGTACACACAGTTCTTTACATCCTTTTCTGTAAATGGGAATTTCTTATTAACCTTAGAGCTCTTTTTAATCAAAAGTTTTAAGAATATTTTATAGTTCTTCACAAAAAGAATTTCTTAAAATGGGTAGGAATAACATTTTCAGTGGGAGTTTTTTTTTTCTTTATTAAAGATTTTATTTATTTATTTGACAGACAGAGATCACAAGTAGGCAGAGAGGCAGGCAGAGAGAAAGAGGAGGAAGCAGGCTCTCCGCCGAGCAGAGAGCCCGATGTGGGGCTCAATCCCAGGACCCTGGATCATGACCTGAGCCAAAGACAGAGGCTTTAACACACTGAGCCACCCAGGTGCCCCTCAGTGGGAGTTTTTAACAAATGGAATTATTTAATGAAACCTATAGCACAAAAATACAAGGCTACTGCCTCTATAATGATTGCACAAAATTTTTAACAGTGCCATTGATTTTTAGCAAATAATCATGATTTTATAAGAAGGTGGGAGGAGTAGTAGAATAAAAGAACATATTGTTGCTGCTATAGAGTTTGGCAGAAAATATAAAGAACCCCCTTTTTAGCACAAAAACACCTCTGTCTTAGTGATGGTTCTGTGATTTTTCATAAAACTTCTGTTGCTTTTGCCACTGTTGATAGCTTTTCTCTTGATATCATGGCTTTGAACTCCCTTCTTAGAAATTTGTTAAAAATGAAAAGGCTAATATTCCTGACCATGAGGCAAGTTTGAGTAGGTATTTCTTTTCCTTCCTTTCTTTGTAGGTATTTTTGTAAGTAGTGAATGATAACTTCCCAAGAACTACAGTGGGTGTTTTGGGGAAGCAAGATTTATCCACATATTAAAATGGAGACTATTAATCATAGGTAATGAAAAACATCAAATGGATTTTAAAGTATAAAACAAATGTATTTACAGTGATTTCCATTTAATACGATTGTTTTTATTGAGCTCTGGACCTCTCAAATGATTTGTCTGCAATATGAAATCTGATTTAACAAATCCGTCTTAACCATATTCATTATATAGTTATTCGTATCAAATTTGGCAAACGGAAAAAAAATTAGTGGATAAAATCTTGAGACATTTATAATAAATCTTTCCATTTCAGGCTACGGCTCTCCCTGAAATAGAAACTTGTTAGAAAGGATTCATAGTGATTAAATTGTTCTTCACTTAAGAACTTGTTTTCCTTAAAGTTTTGGCTATTGATAGTATTTGATCTCAAAATATTGCTTATAGAGTTACTTTAATTTTTTTTTCCTCAAGCTTATAGATTTACAATCCCCAGAAGCTATTTACATCATAATACGCAAAAATTTTAGAAAGTGAGGAAGGCAAAGTGGGTTAAACTTTTTCTCGGGTGCCATTCGCTGCTTTACAGAGGCTGCCCTGAATTAGGCACAGGAGAGGCTTAAAGTTGAGATCTTGTTGGGATGGGAGGACTTACTCAGGTGTTACAGTCATATTGCAAACACACCCAATCTGCTTATATTTCTTTATTGAATTTGGAAGAGAGAGGAAGGTGACGCAGACTCACCCTTGGTACCACCACTGTGAAGCACTTACCCCATTATTTGCTAGTCCTCCCTTATGGTAAGCCGGATTCTGTAACTTCTCATCTTGGATCCACTGTTAAATTTAATGCTGTAATAACTTGTCTCTATCCTCAAAGCAGTCCTCACAGGCTTCATGGTTAAAGCACTGTCAAAATCCTTGCAGCTCACAGACCAAATCACAGGAATTCATGTCTTCTAGCCTTTGCATATGCAGTTTGTTTTGTTGTTAATGTGTGCCAACCATGATTCGCTCATTGGCCCATCTTTCCAGATTCTTCCCACATATCAAATGCAGGAGTCTAGTCATTCTGTCTTCTTTGTCCCTAAGCAACCTGTGCATATATTTTCATATGGTATTTTCACATATCATGGTGGTTATTTATTTCTATGTGTGGTTTCACTGCTGGAGTGAATATTATAGATATTAAATCCCATATCTTAAGGAACCAATCAAATCCTGACCCATAGCATGCACTCAGTAAATATCTTATGATAAAATGAATGAATAAACAAGCAGAATAGAATATGTGGATGAATGAGCAAATGAACGAACGAACGCCTTAAGGGAGATATGGCAGAGGAGAAATAGCCTGAGTTCTGTCACTTAGGAATGCATTTACTTGGCAAATTTTTGCATGAAGGCACTGAATTTATCTGAACCTGTTAAAGAAGGTTTGTTTCTATGTCTCTGCAGAGGTTTCTGGTAGATAATACGTAAAATTTTGTACGTAAAGGTATAAAGCATTATACAGTATAGGGTTTTTTTTTTTTTCACATTCAAAGGCATTATGATATATTCCATGAAAAAAACAGCTCCCAACATATGACATTAAATAAGGAAAAGGAAGAACAAATGCTAGAGAGCAAGAGATCAGATCAAAAGATGAATGAGGCCAAAATTTGCTATATTGTCCTGAGCACCAGACAAAGAAATGTTAACACAAGGATTCTAAACTCAGGCTGCATATTATAATTACCTGGGTATTTAAACCATGTTTTTGCCTGAGTTCTGATTCATCTGGTGTGAGGTAGGGCTCAGTTATTGGTATTTTTTAAAGCTCTCCAGGTGATTCTAATATACAGCCAGGGTGAGAGCCACTGTCAGGCCAGAGGTATTGAAATGTTTCTAGGGAGAAACACTGCATAAGACATGAGATGTTTTAAAAAGATTCATCAGCATGAATAGATAAGAAGAGAGGCTAGGAACAAGCATTGGATGATTAAAATGTCTAGGAAACATCATAGATGACAATAACTGTTTTAAGGTCGAAGCTGTTTTCCTTAGAAATCAAAGGAAGCCACTGTGGAGAAATACGAAAGATAGTCCTTCATAATTAAGTGACATTGTTCAGACAAACCTAGGCACATCCCAGGAATTAAACTGGTAGAGCAGCATTTTAGAAACTTCACTTAGAAGTTATTTATATTACAAAGCAGAGGATAAAATGGTTATTGCTATTTGCTTATTTACCCATGAAAATTCCTAGAGGAGGTAAGTTTTGAACATGGTTGAAATGATAACTATTTGTACAGAGGACAGAAACAATGTATCTTTTTTTTCCAGGCAGAAAGGTTTCTTTCTTTCTTTTTTTTTTTTTTTAGATTTTTTTTATTTATTTGACAGAGAGAGATCACAAGTAGGCAGAGAGGCAAGCAGAGAGAGAGAGAGAGAGAGCGGAGGAAGCAGGCTCCCCACAGAGCAGAGAGCCCGATGCGGGACTTGATCCCAGGACCCTGAGATCATGACCTGAGCTGAAGGCTGAGGCTTAACCCACTGAGTCACCCAGGTGCCCCCAGAAAGGTTTCTAATAGGGTTTTGAGAGTCATGTTTTCCTAGTCTGTCCTATTGCTTTTTCCCTTAAACTAACCATGAGATACTTTACTGATATTTTTCAAGTATTAATTCTTTTTTGGTGTTTTGGCCCCTTTTCTGTGTTTAAAAGTATTTCAAAACAAGTCTAAAAGAATGTAATGTGTTTAAAAACATAGTTAAATATATAAAATAGTGGCCTTGAGGTGAAAATATACTGAACTTAACACTAGCCTCAAAAATTAATTCACTTTTTTAAAATGTCTTTGATAGTCATTTTCTAACAGATTATTTTTGGCATGAGGAAAGTAAAATTTCATCGGTTAATTGAAAATGTGCCACACTAGTTTGAAAAAACATTACCTTCCCTACTTATGTCATACAAATCTGTTCATATGAAAGAGTGAAGGTTATATTCCAATGGTGAACCTTTTTCGGAAGCACTACAGTGTCTTTCATTAATGTAGAAGCCTTAGAAATTCCAACATTATGTGTAATAAAAAAACTGCAAATACTTATAAATATTTCTTGCCCTGAATCTAATTAAGAGATTTAGGAAAGAAGGAAGCAAGGATAACAGGAAGTGAATAATATCTTATTTTTGCATAAAAAAATCTCATGAGGAATATGGAAAACAACCATTTTAGTATTTTCATGGAGAAAGTTCAAGCCATAACTTAATGTCTTACATTGTACAATTCAATCAAGTGCATTATTTTGGTTAACCTGTTTCAAAAAATAGTTGGTATTGGTACAGAAGAAAAGTGAATACTTCAAAACCTTAAACTAAGTTTTTCACTTTTGTTTGCTTCAAATGTATCATTTATAAAGGCTGTGCATGTAGTAGATAAGGCATGAGGTGTGCTCCCGGAAATTTGGGTAGGCAGCCCAACCTTAGGAAGAATAGTTTGTATGCCTAGTTTTCCTTACCTGTAAGTAGGGAGAATAATAATATTTATGTCAAGTTGTGTATGATATATATCAAGCACTTAGATAATACCTCACACAAATAGTAGCATCATGTAAGATTTAGCTACTAAAATCATAAGCATAATGACACGGCTTAAAAGGAGACAAGGTAAAAATAAAATAACTACACTTAAGATTTTTTTCATTTCACTTAAAACATTCTGACAATTTGTTTATCCTGGGGATATTTTTAATCTTTTTTTTTTTTTTTTGGAAAGTCTCCATATTAATGCATGTTAGTATGAGTCTAGACCCTTGCTAGTTCAAATGGTACTCCTTTAATTAGACTCTTAGCAAACAACCATGTCTCTCAGTAGACACTCTAAATGTGGAGTAGTTTGTCACAATTATTTGGTAATCTCTTTCAGTGTAACTCACACAGCAAAAGTGACAATATTCCTGTCACTCCTCAGAAATGTCCCAGCTCTGCGGGTTTCCACATTCAGGAGAATGAAGAAAGCCATTACGAGGTATGCTGTATCTCTATAGAGACCATGTTAGTACTGAGCAATTTGTATTTTCCTAGTAATTTATATAGTCTGAGTTAACTATAATAAATATTTTCTTTGCCATCCTCTTCTATGTTCATATTTTTATACTAATAATTTTTTAAACAACATACAGTTTTAGAACAAAAGATAAATAATATTTTTCCTCTTTGATAATAGTCTAGCTATTAAATATGCTTTTCTTGTCATTGAATGCAAAGTGTTGATTATTACCTAGTTTGGGAGAAAGTAATGAGCAACCTTCTTTCTTTTGGAGTTAAAGATTCCTAATTGGTTAATTTTTATTAGTTGAGCTCAAAGATACGAAAATCTGTTGGTTGAAAGACTGATTTGCTTCATCCCCTATACTTAAGGAAGATAAAGAAGACAGTGTTGCTCAATATGAGCAAATTAGCTGGAATTTCCATTAATCTTTTCCCTTTTTTCCTGCCTTTTCTCAGCTTGATCTTTTATTTCCTTGTATATTTGGATTTAAAATAAAAATTACTTTTCCTTTTCCTTAATGAGTCCATCCATTGTAAAATGTAAAAGATGCATATTTTATTCTTTATTCTTTTTTTTTTTTTTTTTTTTTTTGTATATTGGGAGGGGTATTCCAGTACCAATTATTCTAACATGGCTGGATGCAAAAATCTGTTACCTTTCTTTTTTTTTTAATTTTTTAATTTTTTAAATTTCTTTTCGGTGTACCAGAATTCATTGTTTATGCACCACACCCAGTGCTCCATGCAATATGTGCCCTCCATAATACCCACCCCCAGGCTCACCCAACCTCCTACCCACCGCCCCTTCAAAACCCTCAGTTTGTTACTCAGAGTCCACAGTCTCTCATGGTTCATCTCGGCCTCCAATTTCCCTCAACTCCCTTCTCCTCTCCATCTCCCCATGTCCTCTGTGTTATTGCTTATGCTCCACAAATAAGTGAAACCATATGATAATTGACTCTCTCTGCTTGACTTATTTCACTCAGCATAATCTCTTCCAGTCCTGTCCATGTTGATACAAAAGTTGGGTATTCATCCTTTCTGATGGAGGCATATGTTACCTTTCTTTTAATTTATTAAAACTGTGGTTTGAAACATAACATACAATTTACCATTTTAATCATTTTAAAGTTACCATTCAGTAGTGTTAAATATGTTCACATTGTACGATAGAATATCAATTTTTAAGGAATTGTGTTCCAATAGTTAACTCTAATATTAATACATACAAATTTGTTTCATGTATTTCTATAGTCTTAGCATATAGATTATAGATAGATGATGGAGAGATAGATAATACGAATATGTATATATGTATGTGTGAGTGTTAGTGTGTCCTATGTATTCTATTTTCTCATTGAAGCTAGGTTTTTCCCGCATTTCCTTAAAGGTATTGAAAATATTTTGATTGTTATTAGTAGTACAGGATTTTTGCACTTGTTTTTGCCAAGTAAAGGGATCTACCATTCTCAAACCTCCCAGTAGTAATGTAGGTCAGAGAAACTACTTTGATTAATAGAAATTTGATGGAATAAACACCTTCGTTTCTAACTATTAAATGAGGCGGAAAAAGGATAAAGTGGTGTTTTGGATAGTTTTATCCCTTAATACTTCCTTTACACTTTTTCTTTTTCTTTGTGTGGATCTAACTAGTCAGAAACATCCTTCTAACCTATAGCATATATTCTTCTTCCTATTTTGCTTTTATTTGCTCTCTTTCTCCAAAATCTCAATCACTTGATGGTTGAGAGAAGAACTATAATTTAACCCTTTTATTTTTCATCATTACTATATATATTTCAGGTGTGTAGAACACGGAAATTTCTCCCATGAATCACCTTTATTTCATCCAATAATAACACAATAACACTTACTCTATGGCAGAAATAAACAAGTTTTATTCATATATAAAAAACTATGTAAATATTTTCAAAGTCCACATAGAATGTTCTGAAAGCCATTGAAATCCTGAGTATTTCCCAATTTTTTGTAGAGAATTTAAATGAGCTATAATTAAAATAAGTTTCCATGAACAATATTTTTATTCTTCCTTAGGTATTTTATAAGGCCCAAAGCACAAGAACACAGTTTGTACAGGGTTTATTTGTCTAGAGAATGTGGATAAGAAAAAAAAATAATAGAGTTATCATGTTGACTTACGAGTCTAGTTATCAAAGAATAGTGAAAAAAATCTACTGTGTTATATTGATAAACAAAGGAAAATAAATTATTTTAGGAAATTTTTATTCCACAAATTCTCACTTTACCATCATATTCCAGGTCCACTACAGTCTCAGCAGTTCCCAGTTAGGTCATCTCTAAGGCCCTAGTTCTCTCTAGTGCTCTGTGATACTAAATAAAGATGATGATATTGACAGATGACATTTTTGTGGCACCTACTCTATGCCAGGGTCTGTGTCAAGCTTTTTATGTATATATGTGGCCATCACTTACATTTTGTCCTTGATGAGTTTAGATTGCTTTTCATCATAATATACCTAATTTAGTAAGTATATGCTTCTATTTTTTAATGCAGAGTGAAAATCTCTAATGTTTCTAAGAAAATAAAACTTGGAAACAGAAGTCATGCCAGCTTTGGAGTGCTATAAAGTATTCTGCGAGACAGGGTTTCTATATAAATGCTTAATATCTGTAGACCAATAACAAAGGGCATAGTTGCAGCAACCTGTTCCTTAAAAGTTATTAATCTAGTATTAACCATTCTTGAGAATTTATGAGGTGATTATAACCTACAAAGTTGGTTCCTGTGCTATGCTGTTACATTTTTTTCCCTTTATATTGAATAATGTGGTAAGCCTCATAAATATATTACTGTTTTATTTTCTCATCATTTATACTTTCCCTCTTTAATCATCTTAGTAAAGTAAAAATAAGAACATGTTAAGCTTTTAATCATAAAAAAAATTTAATTAAATAAAACTATTCTGTTCAAGTAGAAAGTCATATTTTTTGTTGACTGATATTGATTAATCTGAATGTAGTTATTAATAAGTTTGTATTATGAATTTAGATATAAAATGGAACAAAGTCTGTATGACTAGCAAGCTTTTAATCATTCTTAAATCATCAGACTTTACCCATCACACTTAACTTAGATATAACAATTATTGCTTACTTATAGAAAAAATGATAGTATCAGCTATTGGGTAATTTCTGTACCAAACATTACCTCAAGCATTTCATATGTATTACCAAATTTTGTCTAATCTAAGATGTTCAGGTGTTACTGTTTAACATCTTAGTGTAACGTATGCTGCAGTTTCATTTACCATTGGGGAAAAAAATGCTGTTGATTAAACTCTCGTTAAGTGCTTGTTTATGGTTTCTTTAATACGTTTCCTGCCTCAAGATATGTTAAAATGTAAGAAAGCTTACATATTGAATCATTAAAATAGAGCTCATTTAATTCTAACAACAACCCCATTATTATTATTCCCATTTTACAAATAGGGAAACTGAGGCATACAGTGGTTATATAATTTGCTTGAGTTCACACAGGTAGTAATTAATAAAGTTGGAATATAACCAACACAACACAGTTTCAAAAACTACAAGGTTAACTACTCTAAGATACTATTTAAGTCAAAAAAAATTCACAGGCTATTTGGCTGTCAGGGACCATAGAGATTATATATTCATACTACTGAAGCATAACTTGATAACAAGAAAGATGGAGTAGCTTGCTGTAGGTCACAGAGCATGCTGGTGATAGCACTAGAATGAGATCCAGATTTTCTGGATCCTGGAGTGATCTAATGACTACCTCTAAGCTGCATAAAAAATGTCCAAGCAAATGTTAGAGAAAAAAGTTCATATTTGAAATTTTTCTTAAATTAGATTTTAAATAAGGTGTGGAATTTAAATGGACTATCATATTTAAGTATTCTCTTCCTGGCAGGCCTTCTGTCATTGGATACACAAAGTGCCTTGATGGTTAAAATAGAAGCATAGAAATGAATAAGTGCACATTGTTTTCATGCCATAAATGCATATTACCTTTACTAAGCATCTTTGATCTATAAATTTTATGTCATTTCCCTTCTATTATGTTCATTTCCCTTTATCCATGAAATAGCATAGAATGCAAGCAGTTAGAGCTTTAAGTGTCTTATATTCTGCAATCTGTAGGAAAATGTCTCATAGTTATTGGAATTCACACAAGACTGCATCTCAGTATGAGTAGCTGTTCCCTGTCACTGTTTTTGATGCTTGAGCTGAAGTATTTTTACAAAATGGTATAGTATTCAGTGTATGAATTCTTGAGATAAGACTTTTCCCTTGAAGCAATGAAATCCGAAAATCAATGTCAGATGGAAATCTTAACTCTAAGAGTTAGGGAGATTGGTGGAAGAGTTTTAAAATAAGTATGAATTTTAGCCGCCAGACTTTGGAAATGTGGCAGTTATCGCAAGTGTGAAATTCATGGGTGCAGATGGTTGATCAAGATATCCAAGGATGGACTACTACTATAAATCTCCCGACCAAAACTGGGAAAACAATTTTGATAAGGGAAATATATCTGACCTTTTACATAAATTTGTAATACAGGTTTTGCTGGATTCAGAGATACACAGAAGTTAAATTATCATTGGAATTTCATGAACATTCCAATTGTGTCATTTGATGGAAATATTTAATAGAATAAAAATGTGTCAAATGGAGAGTGAAAGGAGCATGTGGGAAGAGAATAGAACTAAAATGTATTAGAGTGTTACTATTTTTGTGTGTCTTCCATTTCATACTCATAACCTCATTTAGGACAGTAGTCTTCTGGGTAAGCGTAATTTTCTCACATTAAAGATGAAGTTACAGGTACACCTTGAGCTTGAATTCACTGAACCAGGGGCACACTGAGAGCAAGGAGAACAAGGATTCTCCATGTTTGTAACTACAGTTTAGAACCCTCCTGTTTAAATTAATAATACCAAATGGAGTAACAGCAAAATGGTAACATTA